CTGAAGTCCACTTGACCTCAACCCCCTCAAACCAAACTGTCGGAGCACTCACGACCCCACAAAGACCAGGGAAAATCAACCAGTGGCAACCGGGGTGAATCATCAACTGAAGAACCCTGAAGTGAAAGATTAATGAACCAAACCCGGTCAGAATTAATTTGAACCCCCCCCAATCCACCAAAGTATGATTTTGACAACTTCACTAACCGAAAAGAGCCATTAATTGACACTTAACACGTATCTAGTGTGAAAATCCGAAGAGGATTGACTTACTGATTGGTTCGCCGTCTGACTTATAACTTGGCCAATTTGGTGACCTGCTCACTTGGCCTGATGAAGCTTTTGTGTCAAAAGCGGCACGCTGCCCAAATAAAACTACCGATTGTTTATCAAGCTCTTCTGAAACGTTAACTGAACTTGGTTTCAATGACAGTCCCATACATAGATATGTATCTACAAATTTGTTGGAGATCTTGGAGTAAAAAGTTCTTGTTTATCCTTTCCTTACCTTTCCTAATGGCACCAACTTGCGTCAACTGACATCCCTCGGGTAGAGCCGTGGAGAATCAGCTGTGTAGTGGAGGTACATGTGTGGAACGGGAAACGAGCACCATCGACAGTTTGGTCGTTTTGGCAGCCTTAATGTAGTATGAGCCTGTGCTTTTGGCCCGTCATCCAGTGTGCTTGATCATTCCAGATATTTACACTCGAACGTTTGTGAGATTGGTTAATGGCTGGTTTTGTCGGCAACATTGCTCCGTTTTCTTTTTATTCGTGCTATTTGGTTTTGACCACTATGAACTGCATCTAGTCTGACCGTTATGTACTACCTGCTTGCCAGCGTAAATGATCGCAGTAGTTTGGAATACCGCCACCAGGAAACAGTAGTTTGCCGTTACAGGAGGCGTATCATGGACCAGGAAGTATTTTTGGCCGCGTATTTGCGTATACATGATGCATGTTTGTCCCGTTTTCAGTGCTTTTCTTCTGTACTTCAAAGTAAAAGCATGTTTCTGCCTTTGTGCACCGACAGAATGTCGGCTGCTTATGCTGTACGACCAGAGCCTAACTCGGCGTGCAGGATGCCTCCAGGATCCCGAATTCTAGATAAAAGGGGTCAAGCTATTTGCATCAGGGTTTGGGCTGCCCGCATGGATATGACGACAGGTGAAACGAGTGTCGCTTTCAAAATTATAAAAATCATTTATGAAACATGATGCCTGAGGGCCAATCTATACTGCATAATGCAGCTATTAGTAGAGGACGCTCGTCACCGAGTAAATCTCAGCAAGTGCACTCCAGACACTGCCTATATAATCAAGTATTTATCGCACATGTTGTAGAAGATCAGAATATTCTTGGGAGATCGGAAGCAAAATTGATAAGCTAAAACGTGGAATTAAGACGTTTAGGCACCGGCTTCTTATCCGTCACTGTATGGCTGCCACTTAAAATTCACGATATATTTAGGAAGCAAGGCGCGTTGCCTCAAAATAGCGTCCTGCTCTCTGTCCACTATTGTACAAAAACAAATTCGCGCATTTATATAGGAAAATGTCGGTAGCTCAGGTAGCGTAGATGGTCGTTGACTTTTCACCTCAATTGGTAGTGAAACATTTGCAATCAAACTGCCCAGCTCAGCGAACAAGCCGACGACCATCGCACATTTATATCCAGGTTGTTTATGCGATGATATAATTAATACAGATTTACTCAGTCGATGAAACAAGCCGTGTAAATCAAAGGGTTTGTTACTTCTTTAAGTACTTTGTGGCAATATTTCCCAACTGGCCTTAGTGCTTGAGCCTTGGCGCACTCTCGACTCCATTCGCATTGCCCGTGTCTTAAAGTCGAAAATGCTTCTACTTCAATGGCGTTGATTGTAACGAATTTCAAGAGGTGCTCAGTCCGATACCAAGTGTATCCATCTTTGCGCTTGGATCTTCTAGTGGCTGTGCAGGAGTACAGAGAATGGGTTGTTTTTCATCGCAGATATTAAATCACTGTGAAATTTGAATTATATTAAAAACGGAAAGGAATCATAGACAGTCATTCAACATGGCCCCAAATTATGAAAACAATGACAATAAGTGACCAATAAGAATCTTAGACATCTACTGACTTAGGCAACGCTGCCCACAAATGCACAAAATGCTCTGCACTCAACGATACTCAGGTCCCGTTAACCTTTGGGATTTCTCCACTCAAGGTGAATAGTTTTCCAATCCATAAAATTGATGCGCAATTCACTTAAGTTTTCAACGCAAGACTGACATTACCTGGTGTTTACAGATCCCATTATTTTAAGGACTGACGTGTTCGTTAGGTTACACTTAATTACTTCGGATGTGATCTGGCTTCTGCGAGTATGCATGCAACAAGAATCAGTTGTCGGAGTTAAATCGGATAGCAAAGTAGACGAATTCCCAGAAGAGCCTTGCAACTTTGCGTGGAGATATTCGATACTGACGCACCTCTACCATTAGCTTAATATGATCCCCAAGCCTTATCTACTTCCAACGCTGAATTGTTTATCTAACTAGCCACAATCAACGAACTAAACCTCCTGGCAAAAGATCGATACTACTGCCCTAAGGACATTGACCTTGAGTGGGAAAGACAATGAGGTCATTCACACTGTTGTTAATATTTAAAAAGATGCTTACATTTGAATACATACAAGTATGAACTAGGTAAGCACGCGAATGAGCCGTGAGATATTCATTAAATCAAGGCCAGTTTATTTACTACTACTAAAGAGAAACCGAGTCTGCTCAGTCTCTCCCGGAACGAAGATCAAGATACAACATTGTTATTATTTGTTGTTATGTTTAACAGCACTTAAACACCTATCCACTAACGAAGTCAGCCAGTACACCCATGTCTATTGCAGAGAGCATCCTGTTTTCTGAGGCGTTTTGAGAGCAGTTAGTCAATACCAACTACCTATTCGGAATGACTGCATTACGATATAGGGAATGGTTTCTCATAAAATGAAAGTACAAGTGATCTTCAGATTAGGTTTTTCTCATTTGTTCTAGAACAGATCCACAACTTCTTCTTTATATGGCTCCATTGTTGGCTATGAACAGGTTGTTTACATCGTTAGTGTTTCAGTTGTTCTGAAGAAACTAACTGCCTCAAAATTTTGTTTGTTACTCACTAGAAAGAAGTAAGCAGTTATTCCCTATCTCCCCGGCTTGCGTGCTCCAGTACGTCCCCGTGTCTTCCTTTAAATTGTTAGCAATTCTCCGTCTCATCACTCCAGCTCGCCCACGTGCGAAACCTCCAAGAATTATTTGTCAATGGTCTGGGCTTGGAGAGAAGTTGGAAGTCCGTACACGTATATACAAGCACATATTTCAGTTTGATCCAACGTAACAATGCTTAGAGCCCAGTAGTCGCAGATGGACATACATACACTTGTTTCCTGTCACCCATGGGGTCCATACTAGTATTTAGGTTAACTACGTCACCCGTTGTGGGTAGCCAAAACTCTTAGGTCGTTATTGTATCACATTCCATTTTGCAGTACAAATTCTAAAAATCGTCTCACAGAGGATGAGAATCTTTGAAGTGACTAAAGCCACCGGGAAATTATTGCGACTTGAACTATCTGAAACTATACTGGCCTCGGGTTGTTGCTTGAGACGTTTAAGCCGGCCAGAAGTATATGATGGTCCGTGCGCATGTACGCTGGTTGCCCACGCTTTATCGAAACCGCAGGAGCCTCACATCTATCTCCAACTGACATGAACGGTCCAAGCATGCACAACATCACTGGTCAGTGTAGAAGCAACCAGTTGGATTATAGATGGATTATAGATGGATGCCTCGGAATCCGCTCGCCTCCCACGCACAATTTCTATTCATGTTGCAATATTTCATCGATGTAAAACTAGGCAGTCTGCTATTTGTAGCCTCAAAATTGTAAGGCCTGGGTCTGAAACGTTCCAAAAAAGCGTTTGGTGTAAAAAATACCGAGTAGTATACCATGGGAATCTACGACGTCTATCATTATTTTCCTCATTTGTTCGGTAACCTTAAATATGATATTCGAACTTCTCTTTCCCCAATGATTTAAAATTTAAGCGATTGACGGATACACTGAAATTTAGCCGTGTATAGCACTTGAACACTCTACGATCCGTGAAAAAAAACAGAAATCAGTAGCCACCAGCAGCCTCATGATGACCAGCCTCACAAAAACGCCGCAGCTTACAGCCAGGATGACGAACACTTGACCAGAATAGGTAAAAGCTGAGCTGCTGGACAGAAACGTGCTGGAAAGAGGATTTGGATATCTGGGTGTGTCTGGACCTAAAACCAATAGCCTACAGTGGAAAACCAACAATTCGAGTGACTGTAAACTAAATCATAAGAGTGCCACTTCCACAAATTGCATATGAAGGGCGCATTTGGCGTGCATCAACAGTTGCATTAGTTCGAATGTCTTACGTTCCTTTCACAAATAACAATGGAATATTCAAGCTATCTGTCGCGG